TAGAGTCATTCAGATCTCCGCTCATTACAGTGTAAACACTGTATTCAGAAAGGATAAAATAAAATACTTTGATGCCTTTTACCTTTTTGTAAGATTTTTTTCTTAGTCTTTTATTATTTAAATCTGATTAGGTTTCATAGATAGGCTTTTGCTTTTTGTAATTCTCTTCTCCTCCTGATTGGTCCTGGAGTAGGATCTCCAGCAAGTATTCTTGAGACTGAGAATTATACACTCCAAGCCTGCCAACACAGGTGCACACACACACACACACACATACATCTAAGGCACAACCAAGTATAAGATGTCAACATTTTCAAAATTACTTTCTAAAATATAAGCTCTATCCTTCTCAAAGTCTTGTGGTAAAATGGAAGTTGTTCACTGCAAAAACTCTGACTAGATTACTTACGAGTCATTCCTTCTGAGACAGGAGGCCCCAGCACTGGATGCCTGTGTTTTCTCTTCATTGCTATCACTGGATTTTGTAAGTTAAACTAATGTGAAGCAAGCTGGTGCACATGACCAGCTCCTAGGCTAAAGCCACTGACCTGCCAGTGAGCATAACTTATTAGGAGTGTCAGGCAGATTGGACAGTTCTTTTGAGTAGAAATCAAAGCCTACACAAAATTTACTATAAGGAAACTGCAAGCAGTTAAGGAAAAAATTAAATATGGTGTATTGGCAAAGGCTCAGGGCTCAGAAGTTACTCTTTGAAACTTCAGTATCAGTATCAAACTTTCACTGAAAACATTAAAATTCACAATTCTGTAATGCCACTAAGTCGTTGCTCCCTTGAGAAAAACATAATTATTGATTTCCCTACAGTTAGTGTATTCAGTTTTTAGCTCTAGAGACAACACACAAAATCATGTCTCCTCATATTTTTTCCTAGAAACAGAGAAAGATTATAGCATCTATATATCTGTATCTACAGATATCAGAATGCTTTACTCTTTTCATTTTTAAAACTATTAGACAATAACAGAAAAATGTATTAAATTATATTTTATGTACATGAGAAAAACACCAGATTACCTTCAGAAGATCTCGATTAGATTCAAAGTGGACTTCTCATCAGAAACTGTACAGGATAGGAAAGAATAGCGAAATATATTCTAAATCTTAAGAGAAAAAACTGTCAATCCAGAATACTGTAACCTGTAGAACTCTCATTTATGAAGGCAGGTGAAATAAAGACTTTCTATAACAACAGAAATCGAAAGAATTTGCCACCATCCATCCAGGCTTACAAAAGATACTTAAGGATATGCTATAGACAGAAACACAGAAACATGGTCATCACTACGAAAGACAGTGAAGGCAGAAAATCTCTCAGTAAAAGCACAAAGGAAATCCTAAGTGAAAAATAGGCATGTTTATGGAAAAAGGGCAGGGCAAAGTTGTTACTAACCAAAAGTGACCTTGAATGTAAATGACCTCAATCTGTACTTAAAAGATACAGACAGGCAGAAGGGATTCAAAAACAAAATCCACCTTTTGTTGGCTAGAAGAAACATACCTCACCAGCAAAGATACTCACAGATTGAAAGTAAAGGATGGACTCAACAGAGGTGGGGCAGAGCCAAGATGGCAGAGTATAGCAACAGGACATTCTGAGATGCAGGGGGTGGGATGGGGTGGGGGGATAGTTAATAAGGAAAGGAGATACAGGCTGGCGACAGAGCTGTGACAGTTTCATACAGAGAAAGCCAGGGCATAAGCAAAAGACTAAGCAGGTCCTGGAAGAGGGAGCAAAGAGTCACAGAGAAACAGCAGAATTGCGGTGGAGAAGCCACCATGCACTCCCTCCCTGCTCCCCCACCCCACCCCGGCAGACCAGGTGAGATACAAGGTCGGTAGTCAGCAGAGCTACAGTTAGCAAGGGGCGAGAGAACCAAGCAAACAGTTTGAAGTTCCAAAAAGAAAGAATATGGGATTTGAGGGAGAACTCAGGCAACCCCTGCCCATCCATGTCTCCCCCTCCACCCAGCTGAACCTGCAGTTGGCTGGGAGAAGCCATATTGTCTGTTTACATCTCTGGATGTAAACAGGGTGCTACCACATTTGCTTCCTGTACACATGCCCATCAATTGTGGGGGCCACTTCACCACACCCTCTGCACCTGGGAATAAGGATCACATTTCAGAGTAATTTCCCCACCACCAACAAGCGAGCTATAAAATGGGGAGACGTTCTGAACACTTAAATCTCTAGCTGGTTTCACAAACCAGAGCCTGGCCAGAGTATGTGGGGCTTAGTGCACCAGAGCTCTCCTATCTGCCTTCATCACCATCCAGAAGTGAGCAGAACTTCCAGAGGCCGGCTATGTGTTTACACTAGCAATGCACAGACACAGAGCAGCTCACAGCAGAGGGAAATCTCACCACAAGTACCAAGACACATATTAAAGATAAAAAAAATTGGAATTGCCGAAAACCAAGGGGAAAATTTTTAATAAGAGTAAGGAAGACAGTATGAGCCCCAGAAAGGAACACTGTATCTCCTCTTCAAAAACAGAAGTGGAAGATGAAGAGATTGAGGGTACACCAGAAATGGAATTCAGAAAATTAATTGTCAGATTACTTAGAAGTAATCAGAAACAAATTCATGACCTAAATGAAAAGTATCCCAAGAAACTGAGATAATGAAGAGAAGTCACAATGAAATACTAGATATGGGAATTCAATAGAGCAAATAAAAAATACGGTGGAAAGTCTCAATAGTAGAATAAATGAAATAGAAGAAAGAACATCAGAACTAGAAGACAAATGGGTGCGGTTCTAGTCCCCACTGCTCCTCTTCCAATCAAGCTTTTTGCTATGGCCTGGGAAAGCTGTAGAAGATGGCCCAAGTCCTTGGGCCCCTGCACTTGCGTGGGAGACCCGGAAGAAACTCCTGGCTCCTGGCTTCAGATTGGTGCAGCTCCGGATGTTGCAGCCATCTGGGGATTGACCCAGTGGATGGAACACCTCTCTCTCTGTCTCAACCTCTCTCTTTAACTCTGTCTTTCAAATAAAGAAAATAAATCTTAAAAAAAAAGATAAAAAGAAACCCACTGAAATGCAAAGGACAAAAGTCAACATGACTATGTTGATTGGATACTATAGAATAAAAAAATTAGTAGTCATAAAAAGAGACTTTTCCAATTGAAAATAGATCAACTTATAAATAAGACGTGAAAGCACTAAAGGTACATAAGCATGATAAAAAGAACTTCAAAACAAACCAAAAGAAAAACCGAAGAACTAATATGTCAGGTAAATAAAACCAAAGTTAATAGCTGGGGATTTCTGCCTTTATTTTCTGAAATAAGAAGTCAAAAATCAGTAAGGATATAACATATTGACCTAAGCCATCAAACAAAGTTGGCATAATATCTTTTACAGAAACCTCTGTGACAAAAGTAACTAAATTTACAAGGTTTTCTGAGGCTCATGGATAGTCTCAAAGATATAAGGTAGTGAGAACACGCCATGCTGGTATAACAGGATACCACAGACTAGGTCATTTATAAAGAAAATAAAATTATTTCTCAGTGTTCTGGAATCTGGGCAGTCCAAGGCTGAAAGGTCACATCATGTGAGTGGCTTTGTGGTATGTCATCCTATAGCAATGGGAAGGGCACTAAAGAGTAGAGAGGAGCCGGCGCCGCGGCTCACTAGGTTAATCCTCTGCCTAGCGGCGCCGGCACACCGGGTTCTAGTCCCGGTCAGGGCGCCGGATTCTGTCCCGGTTGCCCCTCTTCCAGGCCAGCTCTCTGCTGTGGCCAGGGAGTGCAGTGGAGGATGGCCCAGGGGTTGGGCCCTGCACCTCATGGGAGACCAGGAGAAGCACCTGGCTCCTGCCACCAGATCAGCGCGGTGCGCCAGCCGCAGCACGTCGGCCGTGGCGGCCATTGGAGGGTGAACCAACGGCAAAGGAAGACCTTTCTCTCTGTCTCTCTCTCTCACTGTCCACTCTGCCTATCAAAAAAAAAAAAAAAGAGTAGCGAGGAGAAGTGTTTGCTTTTATTAAAAAAAAGTCACTCCTGGGAGGGTGGAGCCAAGATGGCGGTATAGCACTTAGACGTTATGAGTCGCAGGAAGGAAAACAGATAATAAGGAAAGGGGATATGGGCTGGTGACAGAGCCATGGGATTTTCAAGCGGAGAAGCCTAGGAGTCCAGTAGAGACTGAATAGGACCACACAGATGGAGCAATGAGTCACAGAGACCCAGCAGAGGTGCCATGGAGAAGCCAAGTGCTGTGGCTGATGCTATGCCCTCCTCCCCGCCTTGGCTGTACTAGGTGATACAGGAGGTCATGAGTCCATGAAAATGCAAGTCCACGGAGCTGCGATTAGCAGTGGGCTGGAGAGCCAGACAAGCTGTGTTTGAAATTCCAAGAAGGAAGAATATGGGAATAGATGGAGAACTCAGGCACACCCCTGCCCATCCACGTCTCCCTCTCCACCCAGCTGAACCTGCAGCTGGCTGGGAGAAGCCATATTGTCTGTTTACATCTCCGAATGTAAACAGTGTGCTACCACATTTGCCTCCTGAGCACAAGCCCATCAGTTGTGGGGGCAACTTCACCACACACCCTGCACCCAGGAACAAGGATTGCAACATTTCAGTGTAATTTCCCTCCACCACCACATGAGCTGCACAAAGGGGAGAAGTTCTAAATATTGAAATCCCTAGCTCATTTCACATACCAGAGCCTGGCCCAAGTAGGTGGGGCTTAGTGCACCAGAGTTCTCCTATCTGCCCCCATCACAATCCAGAAATGAGCAGGACTTCCAGAGATGGAGCTCCATGTTTCCACTGGCAACACAAGACACATAGCAACTGACAGCAGGGGGAAATATCACCACAAGCACCAAGACATGTATTAAAGGAAAAGGAACCAGAAATACAAAAAAAAAAAAAAAAAAAAAACAGGGGAAACATTTTAATAAGACTAAGGAAGACAGTATTAGCCCCAGAATGGACAACACATCACCTTTTCAATAACAGCAGCAGCAGCAGAAGAGACTGAGGATATGCCAGAAATGGAATTCAGAGAATTAATTGTCAGATTACTTAGAAGCAATCAGAAACAAATTCATGACCTAAATGAAAAGTGTTCCCCCAAAAATGAGATATTGTAGAGAAGTCAGAATGAAATACTAGAAATGAAGAATTCAATAGAGCATATAAAAATACAGTGGATAGTCAACATAGATTAAAACACCCTGCAAAACTCATTCATGAATGAAGGAGAAATAAGGATCTTCCACAACAAACAGAAATTGAAAGACTTAGAAACTGCTCACTCAGCTTTAAGAAACAGGCTCAAAGATGTGCTATACACAGAAACACAGAAACAGGAACATCACTACAAAAGCAGATAATTACCCAGCTAAAGACCAAATGAAATCCAAAGTACATAAACAGAACTATTTATGGAAACATGGCAGGGGCAAAGTCGGTACTTAACAATAGTAACACTGAATGTAAATGGTCTCAAATCCACAGTTAAAAGGCACAAAATGGCTCAATGGATTAAACAAGAAAACCCATCAATTTGCTGCCCACAAGAAATACATCTTACCAACAAAGATGCTCTCAGGCTGAAAGTGAAAGGATGGAAGAAGATAATCCATGCTAACAGAAACCAGAAAAGAGCTGGTGTGGCCATCCTAATATCAGACAAAATAGACTTTAACACAAAAATTATCAAGGGAGATGAAGAAGGACAGTATATAATGATCAAAGGATCAATTCAACAGGAAGATGTGACTTTTATAAATGTATATGTACCCAACTACAGGGCAACTGGCTATTTAAAAGAAATGTTAAAGGATCTAAAGGGAGATACAGACCCAAATACAATACTAATAATAGTAATGGGGGACTTCAATACCCCACTTTCAGCAATGGACAGATCAAGAAACAGAAATTCGGCAAGGAAACAACAGAGTTAATCAACATCATAGACCAAAAAGGCCTAGAAGATATCTACAGAACATTCCACCCTACTACCAAACAGTACATGTATTTCTATCCAGTACAATGAACTTTCTCTAGGATTGATCACATGCTAGATCATAAATCAAGTCTCAGAAAATTCAAAAAAACTCGAAGTCAAGCCATGCATCTACTCAGACCACAATGAAATGAAGCTGGAAATCATCAATAAGAATCTCTACATCATATACAAACACATGGAAAATGAGCAACATGCTGCTGAATGAACAGTGGCTCATAGAAGAAATCAAAAGAGAAATCAAAAAATTTCTGCAAATCAAGATGACAATACAACAACCAAAATTTGTGGGATACAAAAAAGCAGTGGCAAGAGGAAAGTTTTATCAATTGGTGCCTACATCAAGAAACTGGAAAGGCACCAAATAAATGAACTATCTATGTGCCTCAAGGATCTAGAAAAAAAAGCAGCAAGTCAAACCAAAAAACCAGTAGAAGGAAAGAAATAATTACAATTAAAGAAGAAATCAACAAAATTGAAGTCAAAAAATACAAAAGATCAGCTGCTTTTTTGTAAAAACACACAAAATCGACACACCATTGGTCCAACTAACCTAAAAAAGGAGAGAGAAGACCCATATCAATAGAGATGAAAAAGAAATGTAACAACACATACAACAGAAAAACAAGAATCATCAGAAATTACTACAAAGAGCTGTATACAAACAAACTTGGAAGTCTAGAAGAAATGGACAGATTCCTGAACACCTACAACCTACCTAAATTGAGCCATGTATACATAGAAAACCTAAACAGAACCATAACCGAGACAGAAATTAGTCAGTAATAAAGGGCCTCCCAACAAAGAAAACCCCAGGACTGGATGGCTTCACTATTGAATTTTACCAGATATTTAAAGAGGAACTAACTCCAATTCTTCTCAGTCTATACTAAACAATTAAAAGGGAGGGAATCCTCTCAAATTCCTTCTATGAAGCCAGCATCACCTTAAGCCCTAAATCCAGGAAAGATGAAACAGAGAAAGAAAGCTACAGACCAATTTCCCTGATGAACACAGACACAAAAATCCTCAACAAATTTCTGCCCAATCAAATTCAACAACACATTAGGGAGATCATTCACCTGGACTAAGTGGGATTTATCCCTGCAATGCAGAAATGGCTCAATATTTGCAAATCAATTAATGTGATACATTACATTAACAAATTGAAGAACAAAAACCATTTGATTAGCTCAATAGATACAGAGAAAGCATTTGATAAAATGTAACACACTTTCAAGATGAAAACTCTAAGAAAATTGGGTATAGAAGGAACATTCCTCAATATAACCAAGGCACTTTATGGCAAACCCATGGCCAGCATCCTATTGAAGGGGAAAAGCTGGAAGCATTCTCATTGAGATACAGTACCAGACAAAGATACCCATTTTCTCCATTAGTGTTAAATGTAGTCCTGGAAGTTTTAGCCAGAGCCATCACGTAAGAAAAAAAATCAAAGGGATTCAGATTGGTAAAGGTGAAGTCAAAAATATCCTTATTTGCAGATAATATGACTATATATATAGGAGACCCAAAAGACTCCTCTAGGAGACAACTGGAACTCAGAGAAGGCTTTGGTAGAATAGCAGGATATAAAATCAACACACACAAAAAAACAGCCTTTGTATTCACAGATAATGCTATTGCTAAGAAAGAACTTCTGAGGTCAGTCCCATTCACAATAGCTACAGAAATATTAAATACCTTGAGAGCTGTATAGGAGATGTACCAGATGGGGAGGTGCTGTCTGCGTCAGGCTACACAGCTACCTTAACAAATTACTGGGGACTGACTAGCCAAGAGAAGCCTGTCTATTCATTTCCATGAATGAGGATGGCTGGGCACCTGCTTGTCAGAACCTCTGTCTGCTATGTCACTGAGAATAGCTTGTTCCACTATTTCTTAAGGAGACAGCAGGGTAGTTGGGGCAACCCAGTTGTTTCATGGGATTCTTGATGGGCCTAGCCACTTAGTAAAGATGGCTCCCCTGCTTTCCTTGGCCTCTGTGCATCAAATCATCCAGCACTTATTGCCTAGTTGATGTCAGGTCTGAGCGTGCATGGGAAGAGCCATATGTGGCTATTTAAAAGGCAGCCAGAATGTGTGCTAGTTTACTGCATGCTTACAGGAGCCAACGGCTGAGGTATTACTGCCTTGCTGCTTCTAGACAACAGGAGGGTTGGCAGAATGAGCAACTCAGGGTGTGTTGCCCGAGTTGCTTCTTTAAAGATCTCTCAAAAGCCCTGACCTCCCAATACCTGTACATTTCAATGAAATTCAATGTAAGTCTTTAAAAGGACATTCAAACTATAGTCTTGTGAAATTCTCAAAACCAGCTGAGTTGGGAAGACCCCCAGCTAGACTTAATCCAAGCTCTTGTCTTTCTGATGTAGGAGTACAACCAGGAGACCAGGAGAGAAGTAAACGAGATTTATTTAATTGCAAAGAGAAATTTCACACACAGATGGGAGTGCAGGCAGCCTCCAACTGTGAAGACAAAATGGCTTCTGCCCCCACCTAAGTTGAGGTTGTCATTTATAGGATGGGCCAGGTGCCTGGAGAAGATCAACTAATTGAAAATTCAAAGGAGGTAATGTTTGGGTGGGACCTCAGTACCACTCATTTCTGCATCTCCTTTTTGGGACTCTGAGAAGTGTCATGGCATAGCCAGGTGGGGATGGAGAACACACACACATGCTCATCTCTAGGAAAGTATCATGGTTTCTCACATAAGATAGGAAAGAATATGTCTAGCCCGCAGTGATGGTGGACCAGTGCAGTAGCATGCCTAAAAAGAGGTTGGTTTCAGTCACTGCATGTGTGTGCTGGCTCAAGTGCTCAAAGCCCTTTGCAAGTCATCCATATTTAGTTTCCTACCTGTCTACCAAACAACATTGTGCCCCTGGTATCCCAAAGCTCACATCTTCCTCACATACAAGCAAAAACTCATTCCATCCCAATAGCTGTACAAACCTTAACTGATTCCAGTATCAAAAAAGTACAATGTCCAGAGTCTCATCTGAATCAGGTATGTGTGAGACTCAAGAGATGATTTTTTTCTGGATCAAATGCACTGTGAATCTCTAAAATTAACACATTATCCCCTGCCATAGTACAATAGCGGGACAGTTGTAGAATAGCTAGTTATGTACCAAAAGGAAGAAATTGGCAAGAAGAAAGGGGTAAATGACCCCCAGCCAATCTGAAGGCCAGCAAGGAAAACACTTAATCTTAAAGCTGGAGAATAATCTCTTTTAACTCCATGCATGTTTTCTGCACGTAGTGGGGTCCCAGTGCTCCCCACCACCATGACTTTTCTGGGCTCAGCATACACTTCAGGTCTCCAGGTTTGGTTCTCCTGGCTGAAACCCTCCCATGCTGGTGCTGCACACCTGGTGCATTGCAGTTCTAGGGTCTCAAGGGCAGCCCCACACCTGTGGCTCTTCTGTGGTTCTGCCCCTACGACAAATGTCCATATAGGATCTCTAGCTGTCTGTGGAATCCTTTGAAATCTAGGCAGAGGGAAACTGTGAGCTCCCACATCCTCTTTCTGTGTGTCTGTGAAATTAACACCATCACGATTTGCTGCTTGTGTCTCTGAACTGGTGGATCATGTTTTGCCTGGGGCCAAATGAGCCACATTGGAGAGACTGAATACTATGGTAGAAATCAGGGAGCAGACACTTGATGTACCCCAAGGGAGTGAGCTCTTTTTGCTCCAAGGTCCAACATTCTGAGTCTGGGACAAGATGACAGGATGGCAGCATCTAAAATCTCTGACTATTTTGAGGTATTTCTCTTACTGTTTTGATGAAAATCCCCTGGCTCTTTTCAGTTCACACTAATCTTTCTTCAGTCACCTGGCCACATCCTAGTGTTTTATACAGAATAAGACTTTCACTGTTTACATATGCAGCTTTGACCTTCCCAATTTTCCAGCTTTGAACTTCCCCAGTCTTCCTACCTTGCCTCCATTTTCATAGAGAATTCTTTATTTAAGGAATCTCCTCCTCAAATATCCCTGTATGTGACTCATAGCAGCTATGCAGAACCTTGAACACTTTGCTGCTTAAATATTTTTTCCTGCTATTCTAGTTTATCACTCTTCATTACTGCCAGAGTCCTGGGCAAGGACACAGTTCACCCAATATTTTTGCAGTTGTATGAGTAGTAAAATGGGGTAAAAAGAAAGTTATTTTGGTGCAAATTTAAATATACAATAACTTTTATAACATCCATTTTGTATGAACTTTTTGAAGACTTCCTATCAAACATGGGATTCAAAATTTTTTTCACCAAAAGAACCTTACCTTTTAATTTCATTTCTTGTGAACTTTTTGAAGTTTCCCTGTACAACAAGAATTGTCTTTCCTCCAATTTCCAATATCTTATTCCCAATTTTCATCTGATATGTCATCAGAATGATCTTCACTGTCCACATTTCTATCAATATTCCGAACACAATCACTAAAATAATCTCTTGAAAGTTATAGACTTTCCTTAGTCTTCTCTTCTTCTGAATCCTTATCAGAATCTCTCATAATACTCATCTTACAACACTTCTTTTAGCCTACTCCTTCAAATTCTTTTAAATTCTACCCATGACTCAGCTCCAAATCTGCTTCCGCATTTAAGGTATTTGTTGTAGTTATAACTCTACTCCTGACATTAGTTTTTTGTCTTTATCTTCTGTGGCTACAACAGAGTATCTGTCATAGGCTGTGTCATTTATAGAGAGAAGAAATTTATTTCTCACCATCACAGAGGCTTGGATGCTCAAGGGTGAAGGGCTGCATCTGGTGAGGGCTTTCTTGGTGCATCATCTCATGGTGAAAGACAGAAAGGCAAGTGAGGGATCATGAGATGAGGGAGCTGCCTTTTGTAACAAAGACACTCCTGTAATAACTAACTCACTCCCATGAAAATGACCAAAATCCATCATTAGGGCCCTGTCTTAACCCCTCTCAAAGGCTCCACCTGCCACTTGGAAATTAAATTTCAGCATGCATTTTAGCAGGGACATTTAATCCATAGCAGTATATGTGAAATATCTTACTGGATGGAAATATCATATCTAAAACAACCACAGGCTGTCAAGGTGACTCTTTTTTATTCTTTTTATTTCCTCTGTTAGAAAGGTAGACTTGGAAGCCAGTTCCCTAAATCATTCATGGATTGAGTGATGTCAGCAAATGTTCCCACGGAAAAGAGGGCTGTCGCTACTTAGCTCTTTTTACAGTTTTCCATGCTTAAAATTTTAGTTCATCTAATCCTCCTTGCTTCCACAGCTCTCTGGAACTTTTAATTTATAGTTTTTTAATGCTTAACTGGGATTTCCTAGGTTCCCCCACCCCAGAGGAAACATGGTTTGATAAGATTTATTACATCCTACACTGAATGGTAAGCATCTTTTTTATTCAACTTTATAATCCACGTTGCAAAGGAGTTGTCTGGCAAATGTTCTTATCCCCTCTTTATAGATTTTGAAGATGTTATATGTCTGTTTAAGTCATTCCCCATGATAGTAAAGGTTAGCTGTGAGAAAAAATTAAATATTTCTGATGTCTGGCTCCTCCCTCTGTTCTTCATTGTACCCAGGTGAGTTCTGTATCCATCAGAGATCATTCACAAAACTAGAACCCACACCACTGCAGTAAGCACTAGCTTCTAACAAGAAGATGCAGCAATCGCTGGAAGGGCTAGAGATCAAAGGGAAGAGGTGGGTTACTTGAACTTTGAGCTTGGAAATGGAGGATAGCCAACTTGATGCTGGATGCTCTGGAATTTGTTGGTGGCTCAGAGTCCTGAGTCTGAATTCTGAGGATACACTGTTTGGTAGCTGTTAGCATAACTGCGGCTGATGATACTATAGGTTCTGGCAGTTACTAAATATGTTTGTATGCAGTGTTAATTTACAGAGTAAAAGTTACTGCTGCTGCAATGGCAAAAGCCCGCATTAAGCAGCACTGGGTATAAAGATCAATCAAACAGTTCTGTTAAGTTTTCAATTTCTCCGTCTCTTCCTCTATAGGCAGAAACTATCATGGGGTAGGAGCTGATAAAGAAGAAATGCAGTTTATCATTACCCATTTGCCATATGGCAAATCCTGATGAAAAGTGGAAGGTTTGGAATTGGCAGAGACAGCCAATAAACCCCCACTTACTCTGTCCTTGAGAGCATTTTTGGATAGGAAAAAGAAATATGCCTCCAAAAATCATTAAATTAATGAAACGTCAGAATATGCTAGGTTTTGACCTTCGTTTATTAGCTTTTATGATTTTGTGATATAATGGATCTTTAGAGTTTTTATCTTTAAAGTCTTCTCTTGACACATGCAATGGCATTTCTACTGCCAGGGCAACAAAAAGTAATACAAGGGAAATACTTTTAGGATTGGGGTTATTTTCAGGAATTATGAGATTTCATCTTAGGGGAATTTTGAACATTCCACTCTGCCTAATTTGGATCCTGAACACTCTGCTTTTCTTTTGGTGTAGCTGAAACACTCTGCCCTCTTTTGGGTGTAGCTGCAACACTCTGCCCTCTTTTGGGTGTAGCTGCAACACTCTGCCCTCTTTTGGGTGTAGCTGCAACACTCTGCCCTCTTTTGGGTGTAGCTGCAACACTGTGCCCTCTTTTGGGTGTACCTGCAACACTCTGCCCTCTTTTGGGTGTACCTGCAACACCCTGCCCTTCCTGGGGTGGAGCTCCAACACCTGGCCCTCCCTCAGGTGGAGGAGCCTCAGTTTTCTCTTTTTCCTCAGAGGGTTTTCTCTTGTGGAAAAGCAAAACTATCAAACACAAAAGCAAAAGCAATAAAACAATCAAAAAAAGAAGTGGCAAGTAATTCCACTCTTTTTTGGCTTTTCTCTTAGGAGGTGGGCCACTATCTACACTACCTCCACTGCCTTCTTTTTCACAGGTGGGTGGGTCCCAGTCAGAGTCACAGTGGCAGTGGTCTTTGTTGTTGCAGACTCCACGCTTATGGCAGAATTCATGTGAACAAATATATACTGGAGTTATCACAGGGGTGCACTTCCTGCCAAGACATACAGAGTTTACATCACACTCGGTGCCATCTTTCACATCACCAATGTCAGCTATGGTCATCCCAAAGTGGTAATCAGTGCCCCAACAAGAAGAGTTTTCGATGTTAATCCAATGCAGAGTAGTATGTTCTTCCAACATTTGGATTCTGCTCACATTGTCACATTGTATTCTTCCACACATAACATCTGTACTACTACATGCTATATATGATTTGGTATCATTACCACAGTTACCAAAACGGTCACCACGGATATTCATTTGTCTGTAACATAGCTCCTTTGCATTCCTGGCATCGTTGCCAAAAATTTGTTTACACTGTCTATCACGGGAAAGGCATGTATTATTGTAGCAGTGGCTGGTTTCCATGCAAGTCTGTCCATTTCGCACATAGACATCTTCTGGACACTCATGCCACATTCCATTGCACCACTCTGGAAGATCACATTCATTATCCTTTTCTCGACACACTTCCCCTGATGCCCTGAACTGGCAGTTCTTGCAACAAAGCCCAAAACCACAAGCAGCACCAGGTCTCAGAGTGCAGTTTGTCAAACAACAGGGATCTTGTGTACACATTTGGAAGGTTCCACAGTCACACTGCTCATTTTCTTCAACAACACCATTACCACATAGGTCTTTGATGAAATATGGTATATTGCGTATACAGGGTTTTTTTTGTACAGTATCCATCAAGGCAGATATACTGCAGTTGCTAAATGCACTTGTGAGTATTTCTCCTTCAGACATTAGGCATGTGGGCTTTCCACATATACATGTATCTACATCATGCTGCATATTCAAATTATGACCAAGCTCATGTGACACAGCAAGTGCAAATTCATAAAATTCGTCATCTGCCAAAAACCTTTCAATTGCACAGCCGTTCCTTAAGCATATTTTTCCCCAATATGATTCCCCGTGGCGAGTATCATTCCTCCACATAAAAAAATGTGTAACATCATTTTTCATTCGGGTATCAAAAACTGTATACTTCCACCGGCAAAAATATTCCAAAGTTTCATGCATATTTCCTAATGTCACTAAGTTTCTGGTATTCCAAATCTCAAGCCCACATAAAGACACAGAAATGTCAATTGCGGCAAAAATGGAATTTACTTCATTAATCGTGATTAATAGATCTTGTATCATCAATGAGGTATTACCATTCCGGAAAAGAAATCGTTGATAGTCTTGAATCACTGCAAGTTCTATAAACCATCTGTGGGTCCAAACACCCTCATAGTTGCTTTGCCTGAGAGGAGGATTATTACTCTGTTGAAAACCCAATTGCTCTGCTATCTCTTCTTCTGCAGATTGCCATTTTGTGGATTGGAATTCTGTCTCATTGTAGTGTAGTCTATGAATCAGATGTTCATGTGTGACTGAAAATCTTTTGGGCTTTATTTCATATACAATATCATTTATCTGTAGCATTCCTCGCAAGCCCCCAAAACAGGAGCTAAGAGCAACGGTGGATTCTGGCTGTCCTTCCACATAACCCTGATAGTGGCAGTCATCCTGGATAAAAGGCTGATCTTCATGGAGAGCTCCCTCGTCTGTGTAGGTGAACACAGGGAAGTGTCTGGATGCCAAAAGCTTTTTGACCTTCATGTGGATAATGTGTCTCTGCCCCTCAATGTGCAGACTATAGGAGAGCCAGCTTGGAGTCTTCATACCTTTCTCAGTGCTGGTTACCTTCAAGGGTATTACTACTTCTTGTTGGCTATGATGGTGACAGTGCCCAATCTGAGACCATCCAGAAAGAAAGAGAACCACTCTCAGCCAGAGCATTAGGAGAGTGATCTTCACATGTACCAGGACTTCAGTCTCAGCCATGTGGAGCTGTGCATGAGAGCAAAAGCATGGCAGGCACGAGGAGATGCAGCTCTGTCTTCTCCCTTTGACTTGGTAGCCTTTGGCCTGAACTTTAGTGGTGTGTCTTCAAACAGAGCCAATCCATTAAAGCAGAGGAACTGAAAGAACAAATGAAATTCAGGACAAAGCGGTATTATTATGAGCATGTGAGTGTGGAAGAGAGATTAGGGTATGGGTTAAAAATCAATTTGTGTTTGGCTTTACACATGAATCAATATACTACATTTGATTTTCTCTTCAACATTATTGACACAGAACAAGGATGTACAACAGAGTGACAGTTGGCCACAAGTTGAGAAATACTGAACCTAGACAAAAAACAGATGGATTAATTTCACTGTTGCCCAAATATACAAATATGAGGGAACTTAAGTTTATGGGAAGGTGAAATTAAAAGATGTTTATTTTACCTATTCAGTGGACTAAGAAGTGAAGACTACCCTAAATTGGAGAAACAAAGAGACATCCAAATTCAGGAAGCACATAGAACTCCTAATAGATATGACCAGATAAGATCTTCATGACCCATTACAGTAAAACATTCAACTAAAATGTGCACTAGAGAAACTCCAGATTTCATTCGGATGATATCCAATTAGACTGACAGCTGTTTATTGTCAGAAACCCTACAGGCTAGGAGAGAAGGAAGAAACATAGTCCAAATCCTAAAAAAAAGAAAACAAAACCCTGTCAACCCAGAATACTGCAGATCTGCAAAGCTCTAATTTATAAATGAAGGTGAAATAAAGACCTTCCAATATACATAAGTTGAAAGTGTTTGTCACCACTCATCTATCCCTACAAATATTACTTAAGAATTATTACATACAGAAACAGAAAATGATAGCCATCATCATGAAAGAATGTGAAGGCAGAATACCTCCTAGTGAATATACAAAGGAAATCCAGAGCAAAAACTAGTAATATTTATGGAAACATGTCAGTACCAATTCATTACTTATCAATCATAACCTTAAAATGTAAGTGGCCTAAATTCTCCAATTAAAAGAGACTGAGTGGATTAAAAGAAGCAAGGCCCGTGTATTTGCTGCCTGCAGTAAACCCATCTCACTAACAAAGATACACAGACTGAAAGTGAAAGGATAGAAAAAGATATTCCATGCTAATGGAAAACAAAAATGAATGAAAGTAGCCATGTTAATATCAGACAAAATAGACTTTAATACAAAAAGTGTTAAAAGAGCCAAGGGTACTATGTAATGATTAAGGGATCAATTCAATAGAAATATATGACTGTAGTGAATGTATAAGCATTCTATACCAGGGCATCTGGCTATTTAAAACAAATGCTAATGGATCTAAAGGGAGACATACACTTGAATACAATAAAAATACTCTACTTCAACACCCCATTTTCATCAGTGGACAAATCAACTGGACATAAAATCAACAAAGAAACAGCATTGCTAATCTACACTATGAGTAAAATGAACCTAATTGGTATCTACAGAACATTTCATCTCACAGCTGCAGATTAGACATTCTTTTTATCAGTGAATTGAACTTTCTCTAAGATAGACCATATGCTAGGCCATAAAACAATTCTCAGCAAATTCAAAACAGTTGAAGTCATGCCATGTATCATCTCTGAATAAAATGGAATGAAGCTGGAAATTAGAAACTGAAGAAATTAGAAAATATGCAAATACATGGAAACCGAACAACATGCTCTTGAATAAACAGTGAGTCATAGAAGAAATCAAAAAAATAAAAAAATTCTGGAAATGAATGAAGATAACAATACAACATATCAAAACTTATGGGATAAAGCAAAAGCTTTTTTAAGAGGAAGATTTACAGCAATTAGTGCCTATATCTAGAAGTTAGAAAGACATCAGATAAGCAAATAGCAGTGCATCTCAAGGACCTATTTAAACAAAAAGAAACCAAGCCCAAAATTAGTAAGAGAAAATGAAGTATACAAATTAGAGAAGAAATAAACAACATTGAAACCAAAAAATGATACAAAAGATCAGGGTTATGAAGAGCTGTTTTTTTGAAGAGTAAGCAAAACTGATATGTTATGGCCTAACTAGCCAAAACAGGGGGGAAGAACCAAATTAATGAAATTAGTATGAAAAAGATGTTACAGCGGATACCACAGAAATAAAAAAGAATCATCAGGAATTACTACAAAATTTTACTTGCTAAAATATTGGAATATATAGAAGGAATGGGTAGATTTATGGATGCACACCATCTACCAGAAATGAACCATGAAAACGTAGAAAACCTAAATAAACCAATACTCAAAACGGAGATTGAATCAGTATTAAAGATCCTGGCAACTAAAACAGCCCAGGAGTGGAAGTCTTCACTGCTGAATTCTATCAAACTTTTGAAGAACTGCTTCTAATTCTTCTAAAGCTATGCAAGACAATTGAAATTGAAGGAATCCTCCTAAATTCCTTCTAATTCTTAATTTATTAACACCTTAATTCTAAAACCAGGAAAATATAAAACAAATAAAGAGAACTATAGACTAATATACTTGATGAACATAGTTGCAAATATCCTTAACAAAATACTAGCTAATCGTATCCAACAACACCCCAGAAATATCATTCACGTGGAACAAGTGGAATTTATCCGTGGTATATTTGCAAATCAGTAAATACTGTGATACATCATATTAACAAACTGAAGGGTAAAAACTATATGATTGTCTCAGGAGATGCAGAAAAAGTACTTGATAAAATACAACCGTCTTTCATGATAAAAACCTTAAGCAAGTTGGTTATACAAGGAACATTCCTGAACACGATCAAGGTAATATTTGGCAAACCCCAACCAGCAACATACTGAATGAGTGAAAAGTTGGAAGCATTCCTACTAAGATCCAGAACCAGACAAGCATGCCCACTCTCACCAGTGCTATTTTTTTTTAATTTATTTGACAGATAGAGTTAGTGCAAGAGACAGAGAGAAAGGTCTTCCTTCCATTGGTTCACTCCCCAAATGGCCACCACGGCCAGTGCTGCACCTGTCTGAAGCCAGGAGCCAGGTGCTTCCTCCAAGTCTCCCATGCGGGTGCAGGGCCATCCTCCACTGCCCTCCCAGGCCACAGCAGAGAGCTGGACTGGAAGAGGAGCAACTGGGACTAGAACCCGGCACCCATATGGGATGCTGGCACTGCAGGCGGAGGATTAACCAAGTGAGCCACGGTGCCAGCTCCCACCATTGCTATTTAATATAGTCATGGAAGTTTTAGACAGAGCCATTAGGCAAGAAAAAAAATCAAAAGGATACAAATTGGAAAGGAGGAAGTCAAACTATTCCTATTTGCAGAAGACATGATTCTTTATATAGGGTAGCCAAAAGACTCCACTAAGTGACTATTGGAACTCATAGAGAGTTTGGTAGAGTTGTAGTATATAAAATCAACAAACTTGCGGGCTGGTGCTGTGAAGTAGTAAGCTGAGCTTCCACCTGTGGTACCGGCATCCCATTTGAGTGCCAGTTTGCATCATGGTTGCCCATCTTCTGATCCAGCTCTCGGCTACTGGCCTGGGAAATAAGTGGAGAATGGCCCAAGTTCCTGGGCCCCTGCACCCATGTGGGAAACCTGGAGGAAGCTCCTAGCTCCTGGTTTCAGACTGGCTCAACTCCAGCCATTGCAGCCATTTGGGGAGTGAACCAGTGGATGGAAGGCCTTTCTCTCTTTCTTCCTCTCTCTGTAACTATATCTCTCAAGTAAATAAAATCTTTAAAATCAACACAAAAATCAGTATCCTTTATATACACAGACAATGCAGTGGCTGCGAAAAAACTTGTAATATCAATACCATTCACAATAGCTACTGAATATTAAATACATTGGAATAAATTTAACCAAGGAGGTGAAAGATCCCTACAATGAAATTTACAAAACATTAAAGAAAGAAATAAAAGAAACACAAAAATTGGAAAAAATCTTCCATGTTTGTGGAATGGAAGATTTAATATAATCAAAGTCTCTATACCACCCAAAGCAATTGCAGATTCAATGTATTCCCAATCAAAATACCAAGGATATTCTTCTCAGATCTAGAAAATGATACCAAAATTCATATGGAAATAGAAGAGACCCTAAAAAGCTAAAGCAATCTTAACAAAAGCAAGGCTGGAGGCATCACAATACCAAATTTCAAGAAATGCTGCAGGGCAATCATAATCAAAACATGTTGGTGCTGGCACAAAAACAAACATGCAGACCAGTGGAGCAGAACAGAAACCCCAGAAATAAATCCATATATCTGCAACCCACTAATTTTTGACAAAGGTACAAAAACTTTTTAAAAGGTTTAAATGTAAGGTAAATAATATCTTTTTTGGTTGAAGGAATATTTATTTATACATATTGACTTGGAATAAAAACAAATAAAAATAAAACATAGTTTTTAAAATTTCAAATGATAAATTACTTAGTCATATCACCCAGGTGAGGTATGTATAAATATTCACTATATGTCTGTATTTTTTCTGAAGGTCCCGAATATATTTTTTGCAACAAATAATTTCTTGTCCTTTATTCATCTAATTATATTAGGCCGCAAACTGTCAAAGCATCAGTTGCCATTCAGGAATAATAGTATGTATCTTAAGGGATAACTTCATTCAATAAAACAACAAACAGTAGTGGAACCTATTGGGACATGATGGCTTTAATCTCTGTATTAATTTTCAAGGGCTGCCATAAGAGATGATGCAGACTGAATGAAGAGAAATTTATTGTCTGATGATTCTGGAGGCAAGAGCCTCACTATCATGGACTCCTCAGGCCCATCCTCCATTTGGAGTTGCTAGGGAAGAATCTGTTTAAGACTTGCCCTGGAAATTCTTGTCAAGGTGACTGGCACCCTGCTCTTTGTTCCTTGTGTCTTCAAGTGAAAACTATTAGTTTATTTTAAGAAAGCTTACTTGGGGGTTCAGAGAGATATAACAGTAAATCTCACTTTGGATTTTGCAGAGGATTTAAAATATTTTAACTACCCAGGTCATTCTGTTACCACAAAATATTTCTCTCTTTCATTTAGTAATAGATACAGATCTAACTATCATCTATCTATCTATGTTTATATATTTGAAAATGTGTGTGTGTTTGTGTGTGTGTGTGAGAGAGAGAGAGAGACAGAGACAGAGAGAGACAGAGAGAGAGATCATCCATCTGCTTGGTTACCTCAGAAGTAGCTTCAAATACCAGGGCTGGGTCCAGCCAAAACCAGGAACCTAGAGCTTCATTCAGATCTCCTACATCTGTGGCAAGAACTCAAGAACTTGGGTCATCTTGTGCTACTTCTCCCAGGCTATTAGCAAAGAGTTGGATCAAAAGTTGAACAGCCAAGACATGAACCGGCACCCATATGGGATGCTGGCATTGGAAGTGGTGACTTTACCCACTACTCCACAACATCAGGCCCTTGGTCTTTCAAAGCCACTGTATTGCAGACAAAATCAGATTTTAGAGTTACCAAATGAAACCATTGGACATCTTTACTGTGACATCAGTGACATTTCACACTGTCACCTGGGGGTTGCTCCCTCAAAGACAATGTGTGAGGATGACAGCTTTCCCTGTCATTTCTTCAACCTTGGGTGCTTGCTTGAGTTCAACCCCAGAACCACCAGTTGTCCCTGCATATAGACCTTTCAGGTAAAGTCTTTATAAAATATGCAATTACCAATTTGGTTTCTTGTCTCCATCAGGCTTATTCCATAAATGACTCCACAATTCTTTCAGAATATCTTCTTATGATTTTTCATTGATTTCCATCCTTTTTAGAAATGAAATTATATTTAGAAAAAAATTCATAAAAAATTCATGAAATTCAATTCTCTTTATATACAGAAGATCAGTTTAGCATATATTAAGTAAAGATTTCAACAGTTTGCTCCCACACAGAAACATAAAGTGAAAAATACTGTTTGAGTACTAGTTATAGCATTAAATCTCAATGTACAGCACACTAAGGACAAAGATCCTACATGAGGAGTAAGTGCACAGTGACTCCTGTTGTTGACTTAACAAATTGACACTCTTGTTTATGGCATCAGTAATCACCCTAGGCTCTTGTCATGAGCTGCCAAGGCTATGGAAGCCCCCTGAGTTCACTGACTCTGATCATTTTTAGACAAGGCCATGGTCAAAGTGGAAGTCCTCTCCTCCCTTCAGAGAAAGGTACCTCCTTCTTTGATGACCCATTCTTTCCACTGGGATCTCACTCGCGAAGATCTTTCATTTAGGTTTTTTTTCCCCCAGAGTGTCTTGGCTTTCCATGCCTGAAATACTCTCATGGGCATTTCAGCTGGATCCGCATGCCTTAAGGGCTGATTCTGAGGCCAGGGTGCTGTTAGGACATTTGCCATTCTATGGGTCTGCTGTGTATCTCACTTCCCATGTTGGATCATTCGCTCCCTTTTTGATTCTATCAGCTAGTATTTGCAGACACTATTCTTGTTTATGTGACCCCTTTGGTTCTTAGTCCTATCATTACGATCAATTGTGAACAGAAATTGATCACTGGGACTAGTGAGATGCCATTGGTACATGCCACCTTGATGGGATTGAATTGGAATCCCCTGGTATGTTTCTAACTCTACCGTTTGAGGTAAGTCAGCTTGAGCATGTCCCGAATTGCACATCTCTTCCCTCTCTTATTCCCACTCTTATATTTAACAGTGATCACTTTTCAGTTAAGTTTCAGCACTTAAGAAGAATTGTGTATTGATTACAGTATTCAACCAAAAGTATTAAGTAGAACAAACAAACAAAAATACTAAGAGGGATAACATATTAAGCTGCTCATCAACAGTCAGGGTGAGGACTGATCAAGTCACCGTTTCTCATAGTGTTCATTTCACTTTAACAGGTTTCCTTTTTGGTGCTCAGTTAGTTGTCACCTATCAAGGAGAACAAGTGGTATTTGTCCCTTTGGGATTGGTTTATTTCACTCAACATAATGTTTTCCAAATTCCTAACAGGGATCACTTTTCAGTTAAAATTTAAACACCTAAGAATAATTGTGTGTTAATTACAGAGTTCAACCAATGGTATTAGAACAAAAAAATACTAAAATGGATAAAGTATTACATTGTACATCAACCGTCAGGACAAGAGCTGATCAAGTCACTGTTTCTCATAGTGTCCATTTCACTTCAAAAAGTTTCCCCTTTGGTGCTCAGTTAGTTGTCGCCGATCAGGGAGAACATATGATATTTGTCCCTTTGGGACTGGCTTAATTCACTCAGCATGATGTTTTCCAAATTCCTCCTTCTTGTTGCAAATGACTGGGTTTCGTTGTTTTTGACTGCTGTATAGTATTCTATAGAGTCCATGTCCCATAATTTCTTTATCCAGTCTACTGTTGATGGGCATTTGGGTTGGTTCCAGGTCTTAGCTATTGTGAATTGAGCTACAGTAAACATTAATGTGCAGACAGCTTGTTTGTTTGCCAATTTAATTTCCTTTGGATAAATTCCAAGGAGTGGGATGGCTGGGTTGAATTGTAGGGTTATATTCAGGTTTCTGAGGAATCTCCAGACTGACTTCCATAGTGGCTTAACCAGTTTGCATTCCCACCAACAGTGGGTTAGTGTCCATTTTTCCCCACATACTCACCAGCATCTTCTGTTGGTAGATTTCTGAATGTGAGCCATTCTAACTGGGGTGAGGTGAAACTTCATTGTGGTTTTGATTTGCATTTCCCTGATTGCTAGTGATCTTGAACATTTTTTCATGTGTCTGTTGTCCATTTGGATTTCCTCTTTTGAAAAATGTCTATTGAGGTCCTTGGCCCATCTCTTAAGTGGGTTGTTTGTTTTGATCTTGTGGAGTTTCTTGATTTCTTTGTAGATTCTGGTTATCAACCCTTTATCAGCTGCATAGTTTGCAAATATATTTTCCCATTCTGTCGGTTGTCTCTTCACTCTCCTGACTGTTTCTTTTGCAGTACAGAAACTTCTCAATTTGATGCAATCCCAATAGTTGATTTTGGCTTTCACTGCCTGTGCTTCTGGGGCGTTTCCCAAGAAGTCATTGCAGGTACCTATATCTTGCAGGGTTTTTCCAATGCTCTCTAATAATTTGATGGTGTCAGGTCGTAGATTTAAGTCTTTAATCCATGTTGAGTGAATTTTTGTGTAAGGTGAAAGGTTGGGGTCTTGCTTCATGATTCTGCACGTGGAAATCCAATTTTCCCAGCACCATTTATTGAATAGACTGTCCTTACTCCAGGGATTGGTTATGGATCCTTGATCAAATATGAGTTGGCTGTAGATGTTTGGACTGATGTCTGGTGTTTCTATTCTGTTCCATTGGTCTATCCATCTGTTTCTGTACCAGTACCATGCTATTTTGATTACAACTGCTCTGTAGTATGTCCTGAAATCTGGTATTGTGAAGCCTCCAGCTTTGTTTTTGTTGTACAAGATTGCTTTAGCTATTCGAGGTCTCCTGTGTCTCCATATAAATTTCAGCACCATTTTTTCCAGATCTGAGAAGAAGGTCTTCGGTATCTTGATTGGTATTGCATTGAATCTATAAATTGCTTTTGGGAGAATGGACATTTTGATGATATTGTATCTTCCAATCCATGAGCATGGAAGATTTTTCCATTTCTTGGTATCCTCTTCGATTTCTTTCTTTAAGGTTTCGTAATTTTCATCATAGAGATTTTTAACGTCCTTGGTTAAGTTTATTCCAAGGTATCTGATTGTTTTTTGTAGCTATTGTGAATGGGATTGATCTTAGAAGTTCTTCCTCAGCCATGGCATTGTCTGTGTATACAAAGGCTGTTGATTTTTGTGCATTGATTTTATACCCTGCTACTTTGCCAAACTCTTCTATGAGTTCCAATAGTCTCTTAGTAGAGTTCTTTAGGTCCCCTAAATAAAGAATCATATCATCTGCAAAGAGGGATAGTTTGAGTTCTTCCTTACCAATTTGTATCCCTTTAATTTCTTTTTCTTGCCTAATAGCTCTGGCTAGAACTTCCAGAACTATATTGAATAGCAGTGGTGACAGTGGACATCCCTGTCTGGTACCAGATCTCAGTGGAAATGCTTCCAACTTTTCCCCATTCAATAGGATGCTGGCCGTGGGTTTTTCATAGATAGCTTTGATTGTATTGAGGAATGTTCCTTCCATACCCAGTTTGCTTAGACTTTTCATCATGAATGGGTGTTGTATTTTATCAAATGCTTTTTCGGCGTCTATTGAGATAATCACATGGTTTTTCTTCTGCAGTCTGTTAATGTGGTGTATCACATTGATTGTTTTGCGCACATTAAACCATCCCTGCATACCAGGGATAAATCCCACTTGGTCTGGGTGGATGATCTTTCTGATGTGTTGTTGCATTCTATTGGCGAGAATTTTATTGAGGATTTTTGCATCTATGTTCATCAGGGATATTGGTCTGTAATTCTCTTTCAATGCTGCATCTTTTTCCAGCTTAGGAATTAAGGTGATGCTGGTTTCATAGAAAGAATTTGGGAGGACTCCCTCTTTTTCGATTGTTCTGAATAGTTTAAGAAATGGGATTAGTTCTTCTTTAAATTTCTGGTAGAATTCAGCAGTGAATCCATCTGGTCCTGGGCTTTTCTTTGTTGGGAGCGCCTTTATTACTGTTTCAATTTCTGTCTCAGTTATGGGTCTGTTTAGGTTTTCTATGTCTTCCTGGTTCATTTTAGGTAGGTTGCATGTGTCCAGGAATCTATCCATTTCTGATAGGTTTCCCTGTTTGCTGGCATACAAATCCTTGTAGTAATTTCTGATGATTCTTTTTATTTCTGTGGTGTCTGTTGTTACGTTTCCTTTTTCATCTCTGATTTTATTGATTTGCGTCTTTTCTTTTTTTAGTTAGTTGGGCCAATGGGGTATCAATTTTGTTTATTTTTTCAAAAAACCAGCTCCTCATTTGGCTGATTTTTTGGAATGTTTTTCTTGATTCAATCCTGTTGATTTCTTCTCTGATTTTAATTATTTCTCTTCTCCTACTAGATTTGGGTCTGGTTTGCTGTAGGTTTTCTAGATCCTTGAGGTGAATTGAAAACTCATCTATTTGGTGCCTTTCCAATTTCTTGATGTAGGCACCTATTGATATAAACTTTCCTCTTAACACTGCTTTTGCTGCGTCCCATAAGTTTTGGTATGTTGTGCTGTTATCCTCATTTACTTCCAGAAAATTTTTGATTTCTCTTTTAATTTCTTCTATGACCCATTGTTCATTCAGGAGCATGTTGTTCAATCTCCATGTGTTTGCGTATGCTCTAGGGATTCCTGCGTTGCTAATTTCCAACTTCATTCCTTTATGGTCTGAGAAGCTGCATGGTATGATTCTAATTCTTTTGAATTTGCTGAGACTTGCTTTATGGCCTAGTATGTGGTCAATCCTAGAGAATGTTCCATGTACTGCTGAGAAGAATGTAAAATCTTTAGCTGTAGGATTGAAAGTTCTGTAGATATCTGTTAGATCCATTCGGGCTATAGTGTCGTTTAAATCTACTGTATCCTTGTTGATCTTCTGTCCTGTTGATCAGTCTATTTCTGAGGTTGGGGTATTGAAGTCCCCCAGTACTATTGTATTGGGGTCTAAGTTTCCCTTTAAGTCCCTTAACAAATCTTTTACATAAACCAGTGCCCTGTAGTTAGGTGCATATACATTGATAATTGTTATATCTTCCTGTTGAATTGATCCCTTAATCATTATATAGTGCCCCTCTTTGTCTCTCCTAACAATGTTTGTGGTAGTTTATGTTGTCCGATATTAAGATG